TCAGCAAAAGTCCCTGGCTGACCGAGAGACCTTAGAGTTTGAGAAGCATCTCTAAAAAAAATCACTTCTCAGGGAAGAAGAAGGCCAGACTTTTGACCTAATTTAGTCTGTTTTGGAGTTGATTACCTGCACTGAATCGACTTCACCTCAGAAGTAACACTTGGTTCTTTCGAGACATGTTCCACCCTGTGGTTTTCATCTTTGTAGAGAAGGATTCATACTGCAGCAGGATAATGAGCCCAAACACACCTCAAAGCTTCGATAACTACTTTAAGACCAAAGAAGACCAAAAGAGTGCTGATTGTTCTAGACATCCCTCCACAGTGACCTGAGGCCAACCCCTCTGAACATGTACGGGACACTTAAAGAAACCCAAACATTCCTGACATGACAGGCTCCTAAGGCACAGCACAGTTTAGGTTCCCTGACAAAAAAACAGACCAGGTCCCCTCTAGTCTTGAATTTAGACACAGGGCTGTGCACAGGTTGATAGGGGAGAGCAACTCTGAAATGCAGTATGGAGTCTGACTGTGAAGAGCCTTAAAAGAAATCAATAAAAGCAATCCTAAAACACATGGGTTGCTAAAAGTGGCATGATGGGATCTGTTTTTCAAGGTAAAGTTAAAAGTCTAGGAGCAGCATTCTACATGTCGGGCAACTTGTGCAAGCTATAGAACATAAAACTTTTCAAATGATCAGATACTGTTTAGGTGATAAACCAGGACGAGATGACTGCTGACTAATTCAAAGTTGAGGCCAGATTTTAAAAATGTACTATGTTTTTTTTGTTTTTTAATGATAAGTGTGATGTTTGTATTGATGGCGGTGAGCACATGCAGACTTTCTTCGCCAAAAACAAGAATAAGTTTGTCAGAATGTCACTGCAGGAAGCGTGGGAGCATCCTGTGGTGTTGTGCAACAAGACATTGGCAGCACATCTTTTTCTCAAAGACGCTCTATTAGCTCGGGATCTGGGGAGTTTGGAGGCCAAGTCAACACCTTGTTCTCTTTGTTGTGTTCCTCAAGCAGTTTTCATGGTGTAGCATGGCGTAATAACCTGCTGGGGAAGGGTGCTGCTATCAGGGAATGCTGTCGCTATGGAAGGGGTGTGCTTGGCCTGCACGTCAATGTTTAGGTGGGTGGTGCTTGTCACAGAACATCCATGTGAATGCCAGGACCTGAGCTTTAACAGCAGTGCATTGTAGTAAGATAATTAATGTTTTTGATTGAATCTATCAGTAGTTTTAATATTGTGACTGAATGATGTATAAGTGGGTAATGAATGCATAGAAATGAAAAGTGACTCTGTCTGTATATCATCCACAATCCACATACTAAATGTAAAGATGGAAGGCAGCAACCATATATGGTCCTGAGAAGAAATTACACTTTTCTGTTATGTATACTTTAATTAAGTGATTGTACACTTTTTTTTTTAAGCCAAACACATAGTAAACTATTGCATTCTGAAAAGTGCAATAACATGGTTTTGATACTTCTTTGTAGCTGCTGTTGGTTTGGCTGCACACACTGAGTACAAGAGACGTTTCTTCAGTGATGCGTTTCTTCAGTGATGCGTTTCTTCAAAAGTAGTATAATGGCATTTTCTCTTGCTGTTGGAATATTTGGTTAAATTCTTACTATGTCTTTTATATGACAGCAATAGCACCTTTGCAGGGCCTAATTCTCCCCTGTGAAATCATGTTTAAACCCAGATAGTTATAATGGGTGATATATAAGAAATCGTTTCTCTGAAGCAGTGATAATCAAAAATACTAAAATTCATGTATACATTTGACTTTATATTTAAAGCCAACTGACCTTCATTTTGTTATTACAACTTATAAACATTTCCTGTTGGACAGAATTTTGGACACAAACCCATTTATTTGGAGCTGCCTACAAATCCATGCACACATGAGCCTGTCACTGTACAGTGTGTCCACAGGGGGGCAGTAGCGTAGCACAGCTGCACAAACACAAACCACCATGTCTCTCCATACTGCTCCTTGGTGGTTGTTGCTTGGAGCAAGGTTGTTGAGGACCTTAACCCAGCAGACCTATGGATTCTGTTCATTATGAGCACTGATTATTAACACGGGTAGGCATGAAAGCCGGGTCAGTTGTGTGTGTTAAGAGAGGTGCTCTTGTAATTACTCAGTAGGACATTCCTCTGCGCAGGCTTCTCCTTTAACCTCAGCGTTGGTGGGGAGGAACACACTTCCACGATCGATTCCTATCTCCTCCTGCCTTCAACCATCCCTCTGTCCCCTGCCTTCACCCTCACCACCTCCACTGTCTCTGCTGCATGCTCAAAGCACCTCCTGTGAAGTTGAGTCGCAGTTTTAATGACAATCTTCTTTATCGAGTTACGGTTTCACCTCACCTGGTCCAGCAAAAACTTACAGGCTCGAGGTCATTAAGTTCAACATCAACCTGAACATAAATACAAAGTTTAACATGGAAATAGTCTGCATGAGAACTCTCGATAGCAAACTCAGTAGCAGACAGTCGTATTGTTTGTGGAAAGAGATGTTGCTTTTACATTTTTGAAATGTTATTGTGTCAGTGCTGTTTGCACCACAAACAGTTCCATTCACCTCTATCGTGGTAGGGTTGAGTGAGAAAGCTTATATAAATTAGAACAAATAACTGCGTGGTTAGATATCAGACAGTAAGAGAACAGGTCTTTCACCACTTGGGACACTTCCATACATTTTTAACAAAAATTTAAAGTGCTTTACAGGTGACTGACAAGCT